CAGAAAATTGGTTCAAACTAGCATTATTATCCCTTGCTTTATATTTACTCAAAAACAGATGATCTGGGCGTAAGTATTTAATTTTATTTTTTTTTGTGACCTAAAATGTAATTTAGAAAGCATTTTTTCCCCACCACCCCATCCCAGCTTTTTCAATGACATATAATAATGCCTAGACTGACCACGTCGTTGAATGCAAGTCAGCTGGACCCGCCATTTTTGTATAACCCGGTAATCAAAATGGCTTCCCCAGCTGTTTTTCAATGTTGTGCACTTTTAAATAAATGCATCGTCGGTCTAGGTATTATTACCTTAGTTTACCCTGTTGAACTTCATTGATCAACAATAAAAATATTTAAATTTCTCCAGCTTGAGATATAACGCGAAACGTACGCGTCTCCTTTCGGGTCTCTAAACTCGCGAACCTCACTCGCCATTTAAAAATGGAGGATTGTCATAAAATAAGATTTCCTCATAAGCGACAAAACGAAAAAAAAATGATAGATAAAAAAAATGCTTTTAAAAATTATTATCAAATTAAGGCTAATTAAAAAAATGAAATTAATTTCCATTTTATTTAATTTTTTTTTAATAACTTATATATAAAAAAATATAAAAATTTTAAAAAGTAATAAAAAAAAAATATTAAGAAAAAAATTTATTAATTATTTATTAAGAAAAAAATTCGTTTTTTATTAAAAATAAATTAATAAATTTTTTAAAAACTACTAAAATTTATTAATATTTTTTATAAATAAATTTAATTAATTAATTAATAAAAAATTTATCTAAACATGTTTTCTTGGGCCATTAGAGTTAATAATTCCATAAATAATATTTTTTTTTTCGATTTAACTAATGGATTTATTTTATTTTTTTTATTTAAATATTATTTAATCTATTTTAAAATGTTTTTAAAATTGTTTTTTAATATTCGTAGAAAACCTTTATATATATAAACTGGGATGGGATGAGATTATCAAGGCTCTATCTCTCTTTATTATTAAATCGTATTTTTTCTTTTTAATGACTTTTAAAAGCTTTGTAAATGTTTATTGTTTTAAATATATTATAATATCGTAAGGCATTCCCACGAGAGAGGTAGTAAATAGAGGAGAAGTGTAAATTTAAAAAAAATTTACTTTGTTTTTAATAGTAATTATCATTATGGAGCTTCCCTAAAATAATATTTATTTAAATTAAGATCTCAAATTAACTATGCCTTTATATTTTTTTTGCGTCATACATGATCAGTGTTGTTAAACTAACTAACCTTTAGTTCAACTATAAAAGAGCATAATAGCCATGTTTTTATCCCATAATATTCCGATCAATCATCAAGTTTAGACTCGAATTAGAGGCTTAATTCAATTTTTTAGGCTAAAAAAGCTTGTCAAAGTTAGTCAATTTAAACAACACTACAATGATATTTAAGGTGGAAAAATTCGGAGAGAGAATCAGTGTCCGAGTAATAGACCAGTATAACGGGAAACCTAGCGTTGTTTTAAAACGGCTGGTTGTGAGCCGATCTCTTAAAAAGCGGCTAAGTCAATATTTTAGCCAGAAAAATATTGCATAAAACCTAGAGATTTTTTCCTTAAATAGATAATCCAAACCTTTGGGCCATCATCTATGAGCAAATTCTTTAGGACTCGCGTAAATATTCTTCAGGATAACTCATTGAGTTTTCAAATCGAGCTCTTTAAAACAACACTAAGTTCGGCCTCATCGAATTCAGACAAACTTATGAAGGACGCGTCTACACTAGTGTTGTTAAACGGCTTACTCGATATTTTATCCAGAAAAATTACTACGCAAGCCTGAAGATCTTGCTCATAGAGGGAACGAAGGTCTAGAGACATATATTATCAAAATTATCAGGCTTAGGCAATTTTCTGGTTAAAATATTGAGTTAGCCGTTTTTAAAATTCGGGCTCAAATCGCGCTGTTTAAAACAACACTAAGTTCGGCCTCATCGAATTCAGACAAACTTATGAAGGACGCGTCTACACTAGTGTTGTTAAACGGCTTACTCGATATTTTATCCAGAAAAATTACTACGCAAGCCTGAAGATCTTGCTCATAGAGGGAACGAAGGTCTAGAGACATATATTATCAAAATTATCAGAATTATCAGGCTTAGGCAATTTTCTGGTTAAAATATTGAGTTAGCCGTTTTTAAAATTCGGGCTCAAATCGCGCTGTTTAAAACAACACTAAGTCGGGGTAATATTTTGTCCAATATTAGGATCTTTAATTCTCAAATTTTTCCTAACCTAAAACATCTCAAAATCATATTTTTTATAAATATTTTGAATCGCATTAGTTTTCGTTAATATATATAAAAAAATAATAAGATAAGTGGCGGGTTATAGAGTTATACAAATTAATTTTTTTTTTAAAGTTACATATGTCTTATTATTTGGGATACAGAATCCTCTGGCAATTCAGAAATCTAATCAATTTCTAATTATTTGGGGCCATTTTTAAATGTCCGATATGAGGGGAAAATGTATTCTAGCATGTGTAAGAATATACCTGACCTATGAATTCCGAAAGATTATATGGCAAAAAGATTTGGACATCTATTAATTGAAAATCTCGAGGCTTAGTCAATATTTTTCTGGCTTAAATATTGAGTTTGTCGTTTTTTTTAAAAAAAATAGGCTCAATTAGAGCCATTTTAACTCTACTATACTTCTTTTATTTGCTCTCTCTCCATGGCCTTTTTTTCCATATAAAAATAGCTCCAATGCCACCACTTTGATTAAGATCATATTTTGAAGTATTTATTATATCAATTTTGTTCGGGTAAATTGATATTCTATAAAATAGGATTAGTTACTTTTGCAGGTACCAATCATACAATGCATTATAAAAATTCTTCAAGCTGTTCGATAAGAAATAAAAATTATAGCCCCGCATATGCATTATATATATATATAGTTTTGGTAAAAAAAAAATTTATCCCTTAGAGTTTAATTCTCTAGAAAATAAAGCCATGTCTCGCTATAACCCCAGATTCATTATATCCCCAATCTCCCCTAAACCAATATTAATTAATACCTTCTGCCATAATACTCCTCTAAAATAATACTGGTGCACTCAAAAATAAGATTATAAGCAATAAAATTGAAGTAATATAGGGGGGGGGGGAGGTATAGGAGGCATTTGATTGGTGTAGACCTATATCCATGTAATCCAATAAAACGCTTTTTTTTAAAAAAAAATTAATTTCATTCATCCAATCGCTTTCCATCAATCTTCCTCCATTTTTCTTCCATACAATTCTTCATTTATTCTTAAAAAAAAAGAGTAATATATTTGCCAAAATTTTCTTTAAAACAAAAAAAAAACGCAATTAACAAAAAACTGCTTTCTCAATAATATAATTTACTGAATATATAATATAATACTAACTGGTTACTAACAAATTATAGTAGTAGGGTAATGTATTTCCTTTATACATTCAATTTACAATTTTAAAGGAAAAAAATTATGAATATATTTTAAAAAAATATGATTTATTTATTATATAATATGTGGTAGTAAAAAAAAAATATAGGTATAAATAAAATTAAGATAGAATTTTGATATTTCCTTTTTGTCATTTCTCTACAGGTCCCTTTTAAACTTTTGTGACACTTTTTTATAATAGAATCGGGGGGGGGGGAGGAGAATTGTGATCATTCTTAATTCCAAATTAGTCTTTCTTTTTTTCTTTAATATAAACTCTACTATTTTTAATTAATTTACATATTTTATATATGTACATAAAATAAAATTTACTTAATCCTACTCCCCTCTAAATATTTATTAATATTTATTGGAAATATAAGCATTATTTAGAAAATTATTATAACGAGACTTCTTTAAAACAGTGAAATAAAGAAATTTGGACAGAAACTAAGGAGTTAATATGAGAACTCTAGGTGCTGCGAGGATCCTGAGTTCAGATTCGGACATCTAACTTGGATGGATGAGGCTCAGACTAATATTTTCTCTAACAGAGTTTGATGCTCGTTAATAATATTTCTTCTTTCCCTAAAGGATCTTCTTATCCAAAATAAGGAAGTCATCAGGGATCGAATTCGGATCTTTGAGAAAAAAAAATCATAAGATCTTATAGATCCAATCTATTTCGATTCAGTGCATGCAGGACAAATTCTAACTAAGGTGAGGGAAGGAGGGGTTAGTGTAAGCCCTCCCCCAAACAGAAAAACTAAACATTTTGATCGATTTGCAATTTAAGATAAGTATCAATAAAAAAAAAATTTCCCCCAATTCAAATCAAAAGTTTTTAAAAAGAATAAATTATTTTTGTTACTTTTTTTTTAAAAAAAAATTTTCCGGCCCGGGTTTTTCTTAAAAAAATTTCAGACTCGGCCCGGATTTTTTAAAAATATTTTTAACGGTTTATGACATTCTATTAGCGAAATCGCTATTCTTAGACAATAATTTTTTTTTCCGGCTACAATAATGAGTTAGCCGTTTTTAAAAAATCGGCCCAAATAGAACCGTCTAACAACACCATATCGTTATAATTAATAGGGTTCCTTTTTAATACAAATTATATAACATTTAGAAAAAAATTAAAAATCTTTTTTTTTTCTCCAAGAGGAAAAGAGAAAAAAAAAACAATATATATATTAACTATTTATCATATAAATTGCCTTTCCTAGCCCCCCCTCCCACTTCCTACTCACTCCATCATTAATATACAAAAAAATCTTTTTGCATTTCCTATTAAAATACTATATATAATAATATATTAAAAATAAAATAAAATAAAATAAAATAAAATAAATTATTTTTTATAATAAATTATAAATGCATTAAAAAAAATATAATAATTGTATATTTTTAAGTTTTTTTTTTAATATAATAAGATATTTTATAATATTAAGAAAAAATCTATTAAAAAAAATTATTAAAGCAAAAGAAAAATATTAAAAAACTATTTAACTTAAAATAATTTTTTTTTTTAATTTTTTCATATTTTATTTTATTTTATTTTTAGTATGGAAATTACATTAAGACTCATAATTTTTTACGCAAAGAACCATTAAAAAAGACGAATTCATCTATTCTTACATACACAAATATTGGAAAAAAAAATCTGAAAATATATCGAAAGAATTGCCATATCATTTTACTGGGCCTTTTTGTGGATTTATTATAAAGAAGGGTAGATATGAAAAAAAAATATTATAATTAATATTTTTTGTTTTATTTTAATATATATTTTTTACAAATCATTTTTTATATAATAATTATTTATATATATATATATATATAATCAAAAAGAAAATAGAATTTACCAAACCTAACCCTAACCCTAATTATTTTTATTTCAATTAAAGTAGGGCTAATATTTAAACGTAATTAATTAATTTCTTCCTTTAGGAAAATAAAAATGTTTAAAATAAGTTTAAAAGTAGAGGTATTATTATTTGCATCATCCCCTTTTTCAAACATTAGAATAGGGCCGAGACCGAACCCCTATTCCTGAATTCCCATCTAGGGAAAATGGGATTTAAATCCTGTTTCCGATCTCGGAAGCCTAAGTGGACTCCTTTAGAAGTTTTTCCGTGGATTCGAAGCTCTTGTAGAACAAAGAAAATTAATTCAGTGGGAAAGAAACGGTTTTTTGCAAATATTCTGAGATTATTATTTTTTTCCTCGGTGAGTAAATATTATCGCGAACTTCTAATAATTACTAAATCACTTTCTAATGGTCCAGATGTTTTTACGTTGAAGAAGTCTCATAGCATCATTAGTAGATATAAATTCACTTTCTATTATTACCTTGGGATGTGGGAACAAATTCTTATCGATTAGAACCCTGGACATCTTGTAGCGGTAATTTCAGCATTTTGCTTTGTAGATTTCGTATAGGCTAGTCAATTATGGCTGCTGAGCCCTCTCCGTCGTAAATCAAAACTTAACCTGAACCGAACCGTTATAACTGGTAAAGCGTTATTATTTACTGAATCTAAAACACCGCTAAAAAAAAATTTTTTCATCCGTTAATCTGAATCAAATCTCTATAAAAAAGTACAGTAAACCCGGTTAACCGCCTTTTTGACATTCTAACTCATTTAGCGAACTATTAATAAATATCATGATTGCTAAGATATCGGTGACTATTTTGAGTTATTTTATTTTTGTGTATTTGCTAAGGCTGCCTAAGTTGGCTCATGGCAGGGTTCAAAACTATAGAATTGATTCTTTTTTTTTGTTTGTTCCCTCAGAAGTAAATTTTTTAAGAATATTTTTAATCGAATGATCAATATTATACTTTAAGGTTGTTATATCGATGACATATAATAATACCTAGACTGACGAGGCATTCGATTAAATGTGTACATTCAATGAAAAACAGCTGAGGACGCCATTTTTGGTTATCCTTATCATTATTCCTATGTCTGATTCGAATTTTTTATGTGGAAGCGAGTTATCAATTTAATGGCAGTTTTTTAACATGAGAAATAAATACTATATGGGTTACCAAAATGGCCGGTCCAGCTGATTGCATTCAACGACGCTTTCAAACGCATTATTATGAATGCGTGGTCAGTCTAGGTATTTATAATATGTCATTGGGTTATAAAAAAAATATTCTTCTCTTTAAAAAATTATAGTATCAGTTGGAATACTAAAAATTGTTAAGTTTTTTGTATGAAATTGTATCTGAAACTATGAACCTTTAAACCCCAAAACTAATCAATATTCGATACCGTATTCCCTCCTGTTGGATTGGCTCATTTTAACCCCTCCTACCGGGGCAGGTAGGTCCTATACAAGTTGATTTCAGCCATTTTCCCCTAAAATAAAAGGATAAGATAAAAAAAAAGACTTTTCTTTAGAATACAGTAAGGCGGATGATGTCAATTTAATTACCGGAAAACTCCTAAGGAATCTAAGGAATTCCTTAGAAGCGCTTCAAAAAATTTTTCCTAAAAAAAATATATATTCTTTCAAAAATCACTTTCGTTTTGTTTAAAAATTTCTTTTTCTAAATTTGTTATCATTGTTTTTTTATTATTATTTTTATTATTATTGGATTGGATAAAAATTAAAAATTATTATTAATATTTAAAATTCATTTACACGAATCGCTATTTAAAAAGTCTAGAAAAAAAATAGATATTTTGAATATCCATCATTTCTTTTAACAATTTTCTTTTTTGATCTTTTGCCACATAATTTCAAAAAAATCTACCAAATATTTTAAAATAAAATTAATATTTTTTTAATATAATATTTTTTTTTGATAGATAAATTTAAAAAATACATTTACGTCATTGATAAAATTATATAAATTATTATAAATGTTTAAAAATTATATACATTTTTTCCTATTTTTAAAAGAAATAAAAGCAAAAAAAATATAATAAATACATTTAATAAATCTTTTATATTTTTTTAAAAAAAAATATTTTTTTAAAAGATAACAATTATGGCCAATCTGATCACTTCTAAATCGTCCCACTTGCATCACGTGAGAAAAAAGTACCATTTCATGCCTAACCTGTCTATCATTGCCTTATTTCTGCTTCATTACCTTATCTCTTACAGGACCGCGGCAGACGCCTTAAATTCTCAAGCATATCTCAATCAAAAGGAACAATCTAATCCTCAATCATTTCAATCCGATCCATCCGCTCGGAATAAAAGATATCCTTCTTCAGATAACGCTACGCTAGATTCGGACAGCGGGGAAAGAGTTAAGAGATCATTCATCAGGCTCAAGCCTTTGCAGATGAGAATGAAGGAAGCCATTTCAAATCTTCAGTACAGCAAAAGATCGCAACCCGATGGTTATCCCTCGAGTGATATCTACGACCCAAACTATAAAGAAGAAGGTGAGATGAAAGATATAAATGGCGGAAATTATTATTACGAACCTAATACGGTGATGCTAGACGACGACAGGGAATTTGGTCGAGATAAGAAAGCCTTCTTCAAGATAAAGCCCTTCCAGAAGAAAGAGTTTTACATGGCTAACCCAACTTTGTGGAGCGATCAGAGCAACCCAGCTGGCATTATGGGCCCTAGAACTGATATAAAACGCTATTATGATTCAGACTATTATGACGCTCTCATGAACAATAGAGACGCCAGGTTCTCAGCCGACCTGGCTCCCTCTACTTACTGGAAAACAGTGGGCAAAAGACCGTTCTTCAGGATGAACCCCATCTCTAACGAGCTAAAACGGGCGCTAATGTTGATAAATTCTGGCGATGTAGAGGATGGCGATAGGAGAAACATTCCGACCGACAAGAAGGCCTTTTTCCGACTGAGTCCCATGGATGCCAAGAGAAGGATGAGCGACGGAACAACCAACAAGCGCGCTTTTTTTAGGCTAAAACCCCTGGGTCAGAGTAGGAGTTACCTGAATTTCTTCGACGATGACGGCCAAAGTAATTATAAAAAGAGGGACATGTACACCCCGAGCTTCTTCGAGAAAGAGATATATTCGATGGCGATTCCGGATTTAGGCGATCATCGAAGATTGGTCAGAAGGGAGACTGCGCGCAACTCTCGTTTCGCTGATTCCGCGTATTTCCCCCATTTTAGGGCTTACGTGGCTGCATACGGGAATAGTCTACCTTCTTCCCTCTCACGCAAAAACGATGTCAAGGGCGATGTAGCGAAGCGTTACTTCTTCCGGCTCTCTCATCTAAGGCCAGAGAGAGGGAATAGCAAAATGGCGGCCAACAATTATCTATACCAGGAGTAATTTTTTTTTTTAAAAAAAGGATATATATTAACCTAGTGGAACATAAAAATATCATCTTTTATCAAACCACATATATTTTTTGATGATCAATCTTAACCATGCCATTCCACAATTCCTCTTTATAAAAAATAAAAATCTCTCCTTATAATTGTAAACAATTTTGTTCGTCGTTTGTATAATAAATACCAATAATATTATTATCATTATCAATATAAATTTATATCATATGAAAAAAAAATTTAAATTAAGCTAAAAAATAACATATAAAATTATATTATTATATATTTTAAATATATTATTATTATTATTATTATATTTTTTTTTTGTAAAATTTATTAAAATATAGTTTTTACAAAAAAAAATAAAAATAAAATAAAAAAATTCATTCATTAAACAGCTTTTTTCAGTTTGTAATTCGTCTTTCTTTCCCATTTTTTTAGATTCTTAATTTTCCGTGGGGAGAAAAAGAACAAATGAAGTTATCTAAATATCTTTGTTATTTTTTTTCATCTAGTGTTGTTGAACGGCTTAACTCAATATTTTAGCAGCAAAATATTGCCTAAGCCTTGAAATTTCGATAATATATGTCTGGACCTTTGTTCCTTCTGCGTACAAAATCTTCAGGGTTGCGTAACATTATTCTGGATAAAATACGAAGTTAGCGTTTTTTTAAAATCGGCTCAAAACGAGCCGTTTTAACAAACACCATTTTCATCCCATCATATTTTTTAAACATGTAAAAAGTAGAGTAAGGTTAAAATTTATTAATTTTATATCGGAGACCTGGGCCCTAAGCCCGGTATTTCAATTTTTTTAAATATACCCGGATAGGGCCGGGCCGGGCCGGGCCGGGCCTGAAAATTGATTTTAAAAAAAATCCGGGCCGGGCCCGAAAATATAAAACTCGGATCGGATAAATATATTTTAAAAACCGAGCCAGACCGAAACGGACCGTATAACCGGTACCTCTTCAGGTCTCCGATTTTATATATATATGTCGTATTGGGATTACGGAATCCGTTGGAGATTAAAGAAACTTTCAATTTTAAATCATTTATACCGAGGTAGATTTATAAATTAAAAGAGGGAAAAAAATTAACTTTACAGGAAAAAGTATTTATGCATATATATATATATAAATATAGGGTACTCTCCACTCGCATTGGGAATTTCTCGACAATTTTACCTCGAAACCTTTTATAACTAGTCTTAATTTATACGTTTTCACATATATATGTCCAAACCTTTTTGATTATCTATGAGTAAAATCTTCAGGTCTTGCGTGATAATTTGTTTTCCGGAAAAGATATAGACTTCGCCCTTTGTTTTTAAGAGTTCTAATCGATCTCTTTAACAACTCCAAGAAGGTCCGATGTACCCCCAACGTGATATGAATAAGGCCCTCTAAATGATTAATAAGATTTAAACCTTTAGGGTGATAATGTTACAAAGTCTTTACGGCTAAGGATGAAGACCTCTCATTTATACGTAGTTTTTTTTTTTTTAATCAGTTCAAAAAAAACCCATAAAAGTTTTGTTTTTTTACTAGTGTTGTTGAACGGCTAACTTAGTGATTTAGCGAGAGAAATATTGCCTGAGCCTTGAGATTTTTGCTGATAGATTTTCCGATCCCCTTTGTGCCATCATTGAGCAAAATCTTCTGGATCGCATAGATATTTTCTGGGAAAAATATTGAGTTAGTTAAATCGAGCCATTTAAACAACAAAAAAAACAAAGAGAAAGAAAGAAAGAAAGAAAGAAAGAAAGAAAGAAAGAAAGAAAGAAAGAAAGAAAGAAAGGAAAGAAAGAAAGAAAGAAAGAAAGAAAGAAAGAAAGAAAGAAAGAAAGAAAGAAAGAAAGAAAGAAAGAAAGAAAGAAAGAAAGAAAGAAAGAAAGAAAGAAAGAAAGAAAGCGTAAAAATGTTAATTTTAATCATTTTTTTATGATAATGAATATTTAAAAAAATATATATTATAATAAAAATGAAAAAATTTCCATTTTTTGTCAAATCCCATTTCCACTATAAACTATTGTATAATTCGAAAATATTATATTATATTAGTTTTATTTTATTATGCAACATTTTATAGCATTTAAAAAAAAAACTGTTGTTAAAACATATAAACTATAAAGTAAGTGAGATTAGAATCTTTAATTCAAAGTTAATTTGAATCTTCAGAGGATCGAAATAATTAAAATAAGTTTTTAATGTTAAATTATAAGTCTCGTTTTCATTCTTTCTCATCTTTTTTATTTTGTTTTTTTTTATCATTCTCTCCTTTTTTTTTTTTTAAATTTCAATTCTATTTTCTAATTTATTTTCTATCATTTTTTATAATTAATAATATTTTTAAAAAATATATATATATATATTAAATTATAACGTGAGCAAAAATATTCTTAGAGCAAGGGTAATAGAAGTTTTTTTTAACATGAGAATAATTATAATCTGGGTTTTTCCAAAATGGAGGGTCCAGCTGTTGCATTCATCGACGCTCTAAGATGCATTAATATGAATTCATCGTCGGTCTAGGTATTATTATATGTCATTGCCTGCAATACAGATTAAGCTCAGCTCTAAACCTGGCCGGATAGTATAAAAAATTAAAAAATTGGGCCTAGTGAAGTGAGAGAAAAAAAATATATTCGTCCAGCTGGTATTTGACAAATTGCGTAAAATACTTTTTTCGGGTTCGGCCAGTTCCCCCTAAAATTATATTTACGAGCATGGGCCCGGATTGGACAATTTGTAGAAAATTATTTCACTTCGTCGGCCATTTTTCTACCTTTATTTCCACGTTACTATTCTCTTAAAGGAAGTGAAGGGGAATTATAATTAGAAAATATCTACCATAAACGATTTGAATGACAGGAAACAAAAAATATATGTATTCAATAAAAACAAACCGATAAATTGTATTCAAAGAAATAGTAAAAGTCAGAGCTAGTATCGTTAAAGAATATTATGAAAACCTCAAGATTTTGTAGATGGTACAAGTAGCGAAGTCAATAAGCTAGCGTAATATTATTCTGGTTAAAATAATGAATTAGCCGTGGACTCTAACACTTAACAGCACTACTGAGAGCTGTGACAACGGAAGGAAAGGCCTGCCCGCCAAGCCCAGGATTTTTCCGAACAAGTTGTGTCATAAGTTCGTAAGATTTTTGAGGATAATGAGTCGTGTAATCGTGGTGTTTTTGAAAACTCATCTTTATATAAAAAATAAACAGTTTAAATGTTACAGTTAGCCCACCCATACCCGGTCGAGAGTACACTATAATATATTTTCAGGATGACCTAAAGCGCCATAAAGGGATTGGTAGCGTTGCTAAACTTTTTTTCTTCTTCAATTTAAGTTGGCGTCACTTTTTTAAAAATAAATTATTTTTGAAATTTAGCTGGAAAAGAAGAAATTCTATTCAATTTCTATCCACGAAAAAAAAAGAAGGAAATCCATATATAAAACATTAAATTTTTATTTTTAAGGGTTTTCCTTTTAAGTTGCCGTTATGAACACTCCGCATCCTCTAACGCTATTGGATGGACCACCCGCTAATAAAAAGAGTCGATTAAAAATTTTTAAACCATCCTGTAATAATTATGTGCCCGATGGGGTTCATTCCTCTTGAAAAACGCCTGAAAATAGTAATTTCCCTAGTGCTGAATATCTTGATAGGAAAAGAAGCCGCATTAAGATTGACGCCTGCCAAAATTCTTCTCAAAGCGAGAAAGCTATATACTAAACGTTGATATCTGACTTAAGAAAATATGGTGACATCTTTTAGTGACATTTTTTGAATATTAAATTTTTGAAAAGACTTTGATTAAATTAATAAACTGTCAAAACGTCTATAACAGATAATTAATTAATAAAGCTTAAAATAAAAATTGTGGCGATTCAAAATAAAATTAATCACTTTGGGTTTATTTTAAAATCCTTTTTTATTAAAACCCAAATCATTCATTCATTCATTTAATTGACTTATACTTAAAGTTAGTATTGTCAAAAAAAACCCATTAGGGTCAAATTCAGAAAAAGCTGTCCGGTCCGATTAAGATTATGACAAAAATAACGTAATGTATAAGCCTAACGATATTTTGCATGTGGCAGAAAGAAAGAAAGAAAGAAAGAAAGAAAGAAAGAAAGAAAGAAAGAAAGAAAGAAAGAAAGAAAGAAAGAAAGAAAGAAAGAAAGAAAGAAAGAAAGAAAGAAAGAAAGAAAGAAAGAAAGAAAGAAAGAAAGAAAGAAAGAAAGAAAGAAAGAAAGAAAGAAAGAAAGAAAGAAAGAAAGAAAGAAAGAAAGAAAGAAAGAAAGAAAGAAAAGAAAAGAAAAGAAAAGAAAAGAAAAGAAAAGAAAAGAAAAGAAAAGAAAAGAAAAGAAAAGAAAAGAAAAGAAAAGAAAAGAAAAGAAAAGAAAAGAAAAGAAAAGAAAAGAAAAGAAAAGAAAAGAAAAGAAAAGAAAAGAAAAGAAAAGAAAAGAAAAGAAAAGAAAAGAAAAGAAAAGAAAAGAAAAGAAAAGAAAAGAAAAGAAAAGAAAAGAAAAGAAAAGAAAAGAAAAGAAAAGAAAAGAAAAGAAAAGAAAAGAAAAGAAAAGAAAAGAAAAAAAAAGAAAAGAAAAGAAAAGAAAAGAAAAGAAAAGAAAAGAAAAGAAAAGAAAAGAAAAGAAAAGAAAAGAAAAGAAAAGAAAAGAAAAGAAAAGAAAAAAAAAAAAAAGAAAAGAAAAGAAAAAAAAAAAGAAAAGAAAAAAAAAAAAGAAAGATGCTTGGAACATCTATTTGCCAAATCTCGATGCTTACATAGTATTATTTTAGCTAAAATCTTAATTTGGTCCTTCTTGAAAAATCGAGCCATAATCCCTTTTAACATCACTACTTAATGCCGTCTATAACCCTCAAGGTTCTTCTATAACATTTACAATAAACTTAAATTCATCAGGACTTTCTTCAAAGATCCCTAACTCGCATTTTTACCATTTCTAACAACCTTATCCCGCATAAGGGTATCTTTTATCTAAAAAAAAATCAAATAATTTTCGTATCCTATCACCCGTAGGTTGATACCTCTTAGATCCACGCGATGGTATCCATCCAGGCGTATGCATCTCTGGAGCTATGTAAAACATCGGCCTCAAAATCGTCCTATTAGATCCGAATTTTAATTTTATAAACAATTCCTTAACTCACTAGTATCGTGTCTCCATCCAATTTATTC